GAAAAATCATGAAAACTTGCAGGCATGATGGAGCTGATGATGCATGCGTGTGCAAAAAGTTTGGGGTCCACCGACTGAGTCAGAAATGAAAATGCAGTACGGAGCAGACCTCCTTCATATCCGATCAGTGCCGGTTGCATAGGTGGTACGAGGTGGCATACATGAAACGTCACCCAATTTTGGCAGGCAGTGGGCATGCCCATCGTAGGACCCCACGTAAGATTATAACTAATTCGGGCACCAAACACACGTTGTGTCACGCCTGGTCAGTGTTTTCGGTGATTTTCACGGGGAAAATCACCAGAAATTCATACAGTGTCGAAAAATCATGAAAACACATTAATATTTTGAGGCAGAAAAAAACACATTAATATTGTATGTCCTTAAAAAACATCGGAGATAATGGCTCTCCATTTCAAGAATATGCATGATCCTTGTGAACCTTCACAAGCTCTCTAAGCAGGTGAAGTCTCACATCGATCCTGCATATCCACCAAATAGAGTCCCACAAACACAGATGTTTGTTCATGTCAAAAAAGAATTTTATATAAAGGAGTCAACGGCGCGCCGGCTTGGCGATGTGGTATTAAACTAGGGGCGATGTTAAAGTACAATGCATTTATTTGTTTTCAATAAATGCATTATGGCCCAGCCGGTGGATGTTTTATGGGACGGGCCAACAGGCCCACTATGGCGTGAGCACGCCCTATGACGCCATATGTGCGTGCATGGGCATGGTAACTACGCCGCCATTACCTAGCCCCACGATCGTCTAACCCCGCCGCCTCCATGCACGACCTCACCCCGATCCCAAGGTCGCACCGCCGTGGCCGTCACAGCTCCCTTCTCTACCATCCTCGCGACGGTCATACACTCCGGCATCTACGCGCGCGACTTGGATCTTGGGCCGTCTCGGCAAAGTTGCCCGCACCCAGAACCCTAGGGCGGGCCGTCGGCCACCGCGGCAATGTGGGCAGAGGGCGCGTGGCTGCCACGACTAACCGGGTGGGGATAGCCAACGGGTCCGCCGGTGCACCTACCGTGGGAAGGTATGGTATTAGAGTAAACCACATGTAATATTTTTTAAATCTCGCAACTAGTCAAATAACGTTCATCTTATTTAGAATGCAAGAATACGGATGTGTGTACTGCTCGGTTGAGAAGTGGTGCGAATTGGTGGGAAAATTCACACCCAGACAGCGCATGAGGCTACGCGGCACAAATTTGGACAGTATGTTGACAATTCCTTTGGTGTAAATGAGGAAACATTTATTGGAATTTATGATTACAAGTTATGATACTAGTAGAAAGCAGTTTATTATTCGGCCAAATAGTGACGACATCACTGTGCTTAATGAAGATGTTTATGACATATTCGGTCTACGTAACGAGGGTGATGATGTGATTAGCATGAAAGCAACCGTAGAACTGGATGTCAAAAAAAATGTTCCGACTAAGTTTATAGACAAAAGAACAGGCCTAATCCTCATCGATGACTTGATAAAAAATATTGTTGATAGTCAGTCATATGATGATGATTTTGTGAGAAGGGCCGTACTGGTTCTTATGGGTACAGTCTTAGCACCACAATCCACCAAATTTGTTCCTTATCGTTATTACAAAATGGTGGAGGATGTCAGCGCTATCAAGTCATACAATTGGAACAATTTCACGTTGTGTGTGTGCATGGATGCTATTAAAAAAAGGTCGAAGATCTTGAAAAATTCCATTGGCCAATCAGCAACTTGGCTCTTCTTTAGGTACCAGTCATTTCTTAATAGCTGTATGTACATATATTTTTTATGTGATGTATGTGTGTCTGACTAATTGTGTTTACTATCATTCAGTACATATACTGGGAAAAACTTGAGCCAATTGGTCTGGATGCATTTGATCCTTTGTCTCGTGAGTACCCACTAATGCTGAACTGGCCCGAAACAGAAGGGAAAAAGAGAGACGACTATGACAAAATACAAGGGTGGGGTAGCGGCAATGTAAGTCAATAAGTATAGTCCTTATTTTTGCACTTATGAATTAAGTATATTCGTTATGTAATGCTCTTCATTTTTTTTTGTACAGACTGAAAACTGCATTAGCGAAGAGTACAGATGTGCTAAGGTTGCACGCGAAGGGACTGCCCCAGAGGAAGAACCGCCGAAAACTAAGCAGAAAGGTGGTGGCAGGAGTAGAAAGGCAAGCACGTCGGTGGTTTCATCGAACACAAATTATAATATGGACCGTGTGATGACATACATAAAACTGCTTCACAAGGAGGTTCTCAATATTCCCGAAAGATGTGCATAGGTAATTTAGAAGTTGTATTCAATGTTCTTTAATTATTCAACTACTTATCGTGTTTCATTTGTGTTTGTAGATGGTAATGGAAAGGTTGAACACGGAAGGTGTGATGTACAAACCCAATAAGAGGGAAAACGTTGACGAATTTGATGATGTAGGTGAAGGAGTTGGGATGCGGAATGGCAACTACCAGTCAAAATATGGGGCGTCAAAATATTGGCCAGATATTGAATCACCTACCGACATAAAGATAGGAACATCTTTCACGGGTATGTATGATACCTCTGTGCCCATTGATGACACGGGTGCTCCGGTGACGACTTCGGGTAAAGGTGAAGCTACTGATCCTTTCATTATAGAGGATAATGGAAACTCTCCATCTTCGGCATCAACTGTACGGACAAAAGACTTTCCGTCTATGTCCCGAACCCTGCAGACTGTTGATATTTTTGGTGAGTCTATGGGTGGTTTGTCACTAACAAAGTCCGAAGAATCGCTTGAGAGTTTCCTGGCAAAGAGCAAGATAGCTAATGGTGATGGCAGTCAGGACAATCAAGGTAAACACAAACGAAATCCGTCGAAATATTGTCAATCCCCCTACGACCTTCTCATTACCTGCAAGAAACGTGTTAAAAAAGTAAGTCAAATACTACTTTATTATGCATTCACGCCTTCTGTAATTTCTTTATTATTTAATTGACCATAACTACATTGCTTTAGATCTGTTTGCATCGTCACCACATTTAATTCTAGCAAGTTCTCTCAATATGACTCCGGATCACATAGAGGCAGCCAAAGTTTTTGTTGAGACTCTTGCAGCGTCAAAGAAGCATGCGCACCAAACCGTGGTTAATGTGCTACAACCAGATGGGGACATATGCACGCCAGCTATGCTTCATGATGTCCTCACGTTTAAATGGTTGAATGGCGCTCTAAGTATGATTTGTTTTTAATAAAACCCTCATTTGTACTTTAGAAGTTGATATAAATTTTGTACTAATATATGCAGATAATCAATGCATATTGTAAGCACCTAGAACACCGCGGTTTTGCTGATCGTCACATATCAACAACGTGGTTCCCTAAATTTATGTTGAATAGGGCAAGGGGAAAGACCAAGTCAGTAAATAATATAAACTCAGAGAAGCTTACAAGGAAAACAAAAGTCCTCACGCGAGTAATGGATGAGTATTTCGCATGGGACAAGGTATTGCTTTCATATTTATTAGTTTTTGTAAGTCAATATTTTGTAATTGCACTAACATCATTTGGTTGTTATGTAGGCGTATTTTCCTATGCACGTTAACGACAATCATTGGATAACCATAGTGATGCACACCGTTAAGGAGGAGTTTCAAGTTCTTGACTCAAATTCGAATGGCGCAATTAGCCAAAAAATCGCAATATGATTGCCACACTGTTACACTATAATTTTCGCACTCACATTAAAAAAATATTGGGTCATGCATTTTTCAGGTTTATATTGCGGCATACATTATTGTGGTTTATATTGGAACAAATATATATTCTGGTTTCGTTAATTTGTTTCAGAGAGCTGAAATTTCTAAGGATATTATGGATGCCAACTCAATTCTTCAAGCAAAAAAATATCCAGATGTCTCATCCTGGCCAATAAATGAGTACAAAATGCCGAGACAAAAAGATGGGTAAGTTCATACTGCATACAACTAGTAGAAGCAAGTGCATGCTACATCCTCCTCTGATCGCACATGTTTATTGCAGAGTGTCTTGTGGACTATTTGTGATGTGGTGCATAGAACACTGGGACGAAGATCGCTGGACACATGAATTTGACCAGGAAGAGATTAATGCGTCAAGGTCACGTATTGTCGCGGAAATTATTTTTTCGGAGGTGAACACATTAGAGAAGGTCAAGATGAAAATTGTTAAAATCATGAAGAAGAAATAGGTATTAGCATTGGTAGGGTTTTAGTCCCGTAGAAGGTTTCCCTGCCGTTGTTGGGTACTTATCACTTTGTTCGATTGTAATGTGACATGGCACTTTTAATTTATTTGTTACACTATTTTGTTAAAGGATATGAGAGATGGCACTTTCAGTTTACTCGTTATGATATTTTGTTGAAGGCTATGAGACATGGCATTTTAATTGTTATGTGTGAAATATGATATATTTGTATTAATGTGTTAGTGTTGTCATGACTTTTGTCGGCTATTTCATATATAAAAAAATTAATCTTTGCAAAATAAAAACATCTTTTAAAAAAGAGTCCCAACCATGGCCGGGCGCACGCATGGAGTCTTTACTAGAACCGTCCCGATCTAGCCCGAAGGCGAAAGGAATGGCCTTTCGGCCGCAGAGCGGCCCCGCCACGGCGTACAACTGGGCGGTCATAGTAGTATAGTGTGTAGTGAGCTTGTGAGAAGGGCGACGACGCGGGTATATAAACCGGTCATGCCGTCCCTCGGCGGGCGAGGTGGGACTAAACTTAGTCCGCGCAACGCGCCACCGTCCCCAGCCGCACAGGAAGCGACCTTAAAGGGCCGGCCCACGCGACAAGCGCCTCGGGCGGGATGAGACGTCTGCGACCGGGCCCGCGGCTATCGCATGGTAGGCGGCTGGGCCACCAGACGTGCGTGTGGCGCACGGCGAATCGCACTGGACCGCATTGGCTGGAGTGGCGGGCCCGCCACTGCCTGGGTTGTCGGCCACCACATGGGCTGGGCTAGAATCTTTGTCGGATCGCACGCCAACCATGCTGCCAGGACGATCTTCATCGGATCCAGCGCCGCTGCTGCCACCAGAATCGTTCTGGGATCCTGCGCCGCAGCTTTTGTAGTTTAGTCCCACCTCGCCTGCGGAGGGACGCACGGACAGGCTTAAATAGCCGCCTCACCGTCCCCTCATAAGGTTCAAAGCTGTTGTGATGCCTTGTGTTCGCTCGTCATTGCCGCCGTGCCACTGCGCCTTGTTGGCGCCAACTCAGGACGGCGGCGGTATTTTTTATATAAAAAAAATTGACCGGCGCGAATACAAACAACAACAGTACGATATGAAAAATATTGCAAACATCATAGCCGCAAACTCATACATTTTAACACAGAAAAAATAATACTTTCAGAGTATAGATAACACTAGTTGTGCACACTTATAACATTCCGTCTCAGAAAATAGTACCAATGATAGTTGGACACGCATTTAAATGTTTAGTCTCGCATGAAAGCGACAATAAAACGTAATAAAATTGTCTGCAAATATAGTACGTGTAGCAACACGACGACATGCTAATTGAACTCTGTCCCAGTGCCTTCCACTAATTACTAATACTTCATCTTTATGCCCGATTCCTACATAACAAATTGTAAACAACTTATCAGGCAATTGTAAAGAGAGAAACAAAAAATAATTAAAAAAATGTAAAACTTACTTTTCATTCTGGGGGCACGTTTGTTGTCTATGGCCCTCTTCCCAACATATTCCACAAAGAGGACCGGGTTTTCTCTCAGAAAATGATTTTGGTCTTCCATTTTTTGTAACATTTGGATCTTTCTTTGCCCGCATGCCTTGATCTGTTTAGGGGCGCCCTTGGTGGGAACTTTCACAGGATCACCTATGACATCAACATGTTGTTCCGCCTCACGTGGCTCCTCATGCACATTCCTTCTATTACCAACAGCATCATCATCAGGGACCTTTTTCTTAGCTATTATATTCTGCAGACACTGCATCAGCTCATCAAAGACAGATGGAGCATTTGATGCAACATGGAAAGCTTCTGCTCCTGTTATACTAAGTTGACTATAGCGAGCACGCTGCTCTACCCCTGTCCAACCCCAGCCAAACATGTCACTCTTCCACTGTGCAGGCAGCCCACCTCTCGCAACTTTCGACATCCTCTTAAGGATGCAACACTTAGGTATTTCAGATTTTTTTAGATGAACCAACACATAGAGAATGTGTTTGCAAGGCAACCCTTTCCGAAGCATTCATCCACACTGCAGTCTATAGTATTCTCAGAGTTTTCAGCTCGATAATTGACGCTGAACTAAAATTTGCGGTTATTTCTCCATGTCACGATGAAGGTGTGACAGTCAAATCCAACTAGCATCTCAAAAATCTCAAGCTCTCCCATCTTCTTCATATCTTGTTGAAGAATATAAAAATTGGCATGAGTGAATACTTTGGCAGCATGCTTCTCAATGTCCTTATATTCTGTGACTGATGGTGGCTTTGACTGATTAGAAACACAGTCATCATGCGCCTCGTTCTCACGTAGTCGAACTATGCAATTCTCATAATGCACAACTAGATCAACAATAGTCATACCGCCATCCAGGTGAAGGTGAGACAAGAGTTAAGGTTTTCACTCCTCTGATTACAGCGCATACCCAAAAAAAAACCATCTGACAGATATGATGCTGCCCACAGACTCCCCTTCCTGTACATCCTATGCAGCCACTCTTCTATTTTATCAATCTTCCATTTAAGGACAAAAGTGTGCCATCTCGCCTCAAAGTTGGCTAGAGAGGTGGAGTAGTACAAGAGTGCCCTGAACTCATTTAGTGTGATTATTGTAATTAAGGTGCTTCTGCATCTTTTTTCCACGTGCCATGAGCAGAGACGGTGCAACACATCAACCAAAACCAACTGAATAGCTCGTATCATTGCAGCGTATCCATCTGTGATGATTGACCTTGGCTTCTTCTAACAATTGGCCTTCAGGAATGTCTGGAGCAGCCACCCATACGTCGCCTCGGTCTCGTCGGACACAATCGCACAACCAAATACTGTGGTGCAATGGTGATTATTTACACCAACGAAGGGGATGAACGGTGATGTCTACTACACAACCTTCTTCTTGTAGACGTTGTTGGGCCTCCAAGTGCACATGTTTGTAGGACAGTAGCAAATTTCCCTCAAGTGGATGACCTAAGGTTTATCAATCCGTGGGAGGCGTATGATGAAGATGGTCTCTCTCAAACAACCCTGCAACCAAATAACAAAGAGTCTCTTGTGTCCCCAACACACCCAATACAATGGTAAATTGTATAGGTGCACTAGTTCGTCGAAGAGATGGTGATACAGTGCAATATGGATGGTAGATAAAGGTATTTGTAATCTGAAATTATAAAAACAGCAAGGTAACTAATGATAAAAGTGAGCGTAAACGGTATTGCAATGGTAGGAAACAAGGCCTAAGGTTCATACTTTCACTAGTGCAAGTTCTCTCAACAATAGTAACATAGATAGATCATATAACAATCCCTCAACATGCAACAAAGAGTCACTCCAAAGACAATAATAGCGTAGAACAAATGAAGAGATTATGATAGGGTACAAAACCACCTCAAAGTTATCCTTTCTGTTCTATCAATTCAAGAGCTCGTAGTAAAATAACATGAAGCTATTATTTCCGCTCAATCTATCATAGAGTTCATACTAGAATAACACCTTAAGACACAAATCAACCAAAATCCTAATGTCACCTATATACTCCATTGTCACCTCAAGTATCCGTGGGCATGATTATACGATATGCATCACACAATCTCAGATTCATCTATTCAACCAACACAAAGTACTTCAAAGAGTGCCCCAAAGTCTCTACCGGAGAGTCAAGACGAAAACGTGTACCAACCCCTATGCATAGGTTCATGGGCGGAACCCGTAAGTTGGTCACCATAACATACATCAAGTGGCACATGATATCCCATTGTAACCACAGATAAGCACGACAAGACATACATCAAGTGTTCTCAAATCATTAAAGACTCAATCCGATAAGATAACATCAAGTGGCTCCCGAGAGGTTTTTGATGGCTACAGAGGCTTGCGGCGGCGGAACTCCAAATCTATCTTCTCCGTGGATGTTTTTAGGGTACGTGGGACTATATAGGTGAAAGAAGTCGGTCGGGAGGTGCTCGAGGGGCCCACGAGACAGGGGGCACACCTAGTAGGGGAGTGCGCCCCCCACCCTCGTGGCCTCCTCGAGGATCTTCTGACATGAACTCCAAGTCTCCCGGATGATATTCTTCCAAAAAAATTGCTTTGCCTAAGGTTTCATTCCGTTTGGACTCCGTTTGATATTCCTTTTCTTCGAAATACTGAAACAGGCAATAAAACAGCAATATGGGTTGGGCCTCCGGTTAATAGGTTAGTCCCAAAAGTAATATAAAAGTATATAATAAAGCCCATAATCATTCAAAACAGGTAATATAATAGCATGGAACAATCAAAAATTATAGATACGTTGGAGACGTATCAAGCATCCCCAAACTTAATTCCTGCTCGTCCTCGAGTAGGTAAATGCTAAAAACAGAATTTTT